GGACAGTTGTATGGGGAATTGTCTTAAAGTTAAGCGAAGGCCCTCAATTTCTGTTTTGTGACCCATTCCTTCCTTTGTCTCTCCCCCCCCTCCACGCAGATTCACCGATTCCACACGAGCTTCTACCTTTCATTTTATTAATGTTTTGTATTGCAATTACTGAACTGATGGTCAAAAACAAAACATTTTCCTCTGAACTAATTTTTTTGTATGGGGAATTGTCTTAAAGTTAAGCGAAGGCCCTCAATTTCTGTTTTGTGACCCATTCCTTCCTTTGTCTCTCCCCCCCCTCCACGCAGATTCACCGATTCCACACGAGCTTCTACCTTTCATTTTATTAATGTTTTGTATTGCAATTACTGAACTGATGGTCAAAAACAAAACATTTTCCTCTGAACTAATTTTTTTTCCAAATTCTGAAATATGATCAGTTATGGTCTCTGTTTTACAGGGATATTTTAGAACTGACCTGCATCTACTCATGTAAGACCCAGTTCTAGAATCCTGGCTCAGATTAAGGAGTGCTTAATTATTTTATTTAAGTCACCATCTTGTAAGCAAACAAGAAACTTCATTCACATGCAATGAGTGAAATTTTGGCCCCACTCAAGTCAATAGCAAAACTCTCATTGAGTTCTGTGGGCATGAGTCTACAAGTGTCAGTAAATTACATGAGTCCCTTCATTAGTATAAGGTGATCAGTATGAGTAAAGGTTGTCAAATTGAGCCTTTACTGATAGCTAACAGTGTTTAAGCGCCATTCGGACTATGGACTATAGAAGATGGACAATAAAGCAAAAACAATATATCATGCAGGACTGGTTATATGATTTTTCGATAGAGATGCTATAGATCTTCACATTCAAAATTTGATCACAGAAAAAGATTACACTGGAAAAGAGTTCCTATAATTAGGGAGTATACTCTTGCAAGACAGGATTCACTGTAGGTGGTCTGACAAACCACTGAACAACAACAACAACGTAGGTCACACCTTTGTCAGAGTTTAAAGAAATCTAAATGGCAATGAGATGGATAAAGCCCCTTACTTTGGGCAGAAGGACAGTGATTGTTAATTTACTTGTACCTCTTGCTTAGGTATCTGCTCAAAGCAGAGTGTTGTTTGTTTCTTACCTGTATGGTTAACTAAGAGCCAAGTCTAGGATGTTGCTTAATTACAGTGTCAAGTTGGCAGCTGTGTTCAGCAAAATGGCTTTGCCCTCACTTCAATCCTCGGTCTAAAGCAACGTATACTAAGGCCTACAGCTGCTTCAAGGGATCCTGATTGCAAATAACCCCAAGGGACCAAAAATGCCGTTAGATATCAGTAGGGTGTAAGGTATCCTGGACATTTCCTCTTTTCCCTCCCAGTCCAGCATCATGAAGGGAGAACAGCACAAGAACCCTGCACACCATCTGTATTCCCTTGGAGACCTCTCTTTGAAAATGGCTTTGGGATTGTTCCCCCCCTCACCCTCCCGTTAGATCTGTTAACACCAATGGAACAGCACACCTCACTAGAGAACCTGGCCCACAGCATTTGTATTGGCGCATTAACAGATTAAAATTAAATGTGTCTTTTAGGTTCTCACAGAATAGGCAATCTGCAAAATAAATTAAGCTTCACATATGCTTTTACAGCACATAACAACTGTGACTGTCAACACAAGATCCTTTTCACTGTCAATTCACCACGCATTCTGTAAGACCTTGGGCCTGCAATTATTTCATTTCCTTTCTTGCAAATGTAATTTCCACTTAGTTTGCTGGAATAAAAGGTAGACAAAAGGTGGTAGGAGTTGCAGAATTTTCTGATTAAGATTATCTGTTCAAAATGTAAAAATCTATAGACTAACAATACAGTGTTTCACAAAAACTAACTCACCTCTTCCAAATTGCCTCTATATCAGGGTATTGGTTAAAAAATACAGCTACATTATTGAGGTCAAATTAGCTGTTAAACAAATTTAAATCAGAAAGATAAAGAGTAAGTATACATCATCTTTCTGTTAAGGACACTTACTGAATATATTTCAGTGGAGGAAGACACCTAATTAGACAGGGAAATTTGCTTTTAAAATTCAAATCAGGGTTAAATAAAACTGTAAGGCATAGAAAGGATATAAGGCCTTCCATTAAAACAAAACAAAAAAACACAAAGAGAAAGAGATAAAAGCACCAACAAGACAATAAAGCAAATACCAGTTCACAAAAAATATATCGGAATTGAATTTCCAGTTCATTTGTCCTGATTCGCCCCTTTGAACTGAGCAATGGAGACCTACGAGAATAGGTGTTCTTTCTCTACTGATGGAACAGGAAATCAGAGGTTTAATTAACCATGATTATAATATTCTGCTGATCTGATTTGTCTCACCTATTTCCTTTTTCTTTAAAAGACAGACTACCTGACAACCATCCTGGCAAGAGAACTAAAGCAAATCTGCAGACTAATTTCAAAAAGAGGTTTGCATTGTTATAAAACAAACTGATCTTCAACCGGATCTGCCTGAAATGTATATTTCTGAAGCAGGATTAACTCTTTGATGCTTAAATGGCACTTTGAAGCTTCAATCTGTTGTGCAAAAAGAATCCTCTGTTATGCCAAAATAGTATCCAATTTTACATTTTCTTTCAGCAGCTAAATCCTGTAGTTTCCAGATAGTTCGACATTTCCATTTCCTGCTGGTAAATATTATTTAAAACTGAAAATGAAATTGTGAAAATGTACATTTATTTTGGCCCACGGAGGGGAAATACCCAAAACAAATGCTTTTCAACTGGTCAAGTTTATTCACTACTAACGTTAGTTTAAAAAAACCAAACAGTTCATAAATTCAATACTACACTGCCCACCAGTATTCCCTCTTACTGACAATGGGAAAAATACCTCAAGTGAAGCATTTTGCTGTTCCTCAAAAAGTCCCACTATCTTTCTGTAGCAACAGATCCTGAATCTCTCTGGGCAGTACATTCACTGACTCTAGGCAGAGAAGAAGTTTGTTATAATGCAAAGTTCAGTCTCCAGGCAGGACTGAGACAACTTGTACGGGCAGTTACATATTGCATGTTTCCTGATTGACAAAGTGATGTAAATGGCATAAAAATACACCAGTGAAACAGGTCTGGCATTCCCATATGACTAGAGGTTCATAAATAGCGTTACTTACTGAAATGTAACCTTGGAACTTGCGCTTTCCTTCATTTGAAGAGCCCCTGTGCCTGACTCGGGTGTTTCGGAGCTGAATTCTGCCTCTAGAGTTTTCTTGTTCACTGCTGTAGTAGAGTCTGAGCCTAACACTGGCATGGATTTGGATTCTGATGTGGCCAACACTCCAGCTGGACCTAAAACCCAAAGCGAGCTTAGCATATTTGTTACCCCTAGTTGTCCGGAGTACTGAATCACAGACCAGCTCAATATAATTCCAGTCAATTAGCTTGGTCAAATCATTTCCTTAAAGAGTAATTTCCAGTTCACAGAAAGTGTTGAAATGCATTCCATTTAGAATCAGCTTATTTTTCTCTACAGTGTCAAAATGCCATGGCTCAATCCAACAAAGCCTAGACTTTAGAAGGGTCCCAGGGGAACTACAGAACCCCAGCTGCTGTCTGAATTCACTCAGCTGAGAGGCATGGAATGGTAAGTATATTGAAGGTGTTAATGTTTTTCTTTTCTGCTATAAAAATATATTTGAACAAAGCTTTAAAACCGTTAAATATTGCCACAAGTGCTTGCTTTCTTCAGAGACAGTAAATTCAATATGGTGGTTATCATTCTCCTATTTTACATTAATTTATGAAGTACACCTTTGCAGGAAACACAGACAGGCAAAGACAGCCCAAGGACTTCAGTAATGCTGTCTGAGCTTGGGAGCAGAAAGTTTACAAGGGTGGGCGGAGAGCACTGAGACACATTTATAGTAGAAAAAATCGTGATGGCAGAGTGCAGCTATTAAGGGGAAATGGATCAGTTGGGAAGCAATTAGAGCTCTCCCCAATAACACTGGGTGAACCTGGAAAGGTCTTAAAGACAGAGCAATTTGGCGTTTAAATAGCTTTAACACAAGTTCTCTGAAACTCAATAGCAGGACTACGAAAGGATCAAGCCAACTCACTGCTGCTGTCTTGCTCGGCTGTCACCTTTCTGCGCCGTAAAATTCTTTCTAACTCAGTTTCACTGCTGTCTGTTTCAAGGGATTTTAAGCTTCTCGAACTGGTAGATTTGTTGAGCGTATCCTGTAATAAAAAATATACACAGAAGCTCATAGAATCAGAGAACATTAGAACTGGAAGGGACCTCAAGAGGTCATCGAGTCCAGAATGCTGCCCTCACAGCAAAACCCAGTACCATCTAGACCATCCCTGACAGATGTAAGAACATATGCCCTCCCAAAACATAGATCATAAGAACACATGCCCTTCCAAAACTTTGCAGAAGGTTGAGCAAGTAAAATAGATATTGGAGATGGTAACCGATACCATTTTAGATTAACTAAGTAACAGTTCTGCTTGGTCGGCACTATAAACCAGGAACTGCAGATTCTAATATGTTCACAGAGTCCTTGCAAGACACTTGGCAGGTCACTTAACCTCTCTACCCCAATTTATCTACTGGCAAAATGGGGAGAGATCCGTAAGTACAGAGAGTTTGTGAGCTTTACTGGCCCATAATGAAGCCCAGAAGAAGGCACCTGCCAGTGGAAAATTCCATCTGTGGAGAAATTCCATCCCTTGAGGGATCAGGATTGTCCAAAAAGGGGGTAGTGCTGGCCCAGGAGAGATTATATCTATGCAGTTTAGTACTTCCCCTGAACAGACTTCATGAAGCCCTGAGATCAAGCTAAAGAAGTTCCTTCTTGGTGAATCCCACTGTGCAGTAAAGAGTCAAGCTGGCTCTGGGTGAAATCTGGTGGAGTATTTCTAAAGTGCAATGTATATGCTAAGTAGCGTTACTGAAACAAATCCAACTATTAACACAAATACTAAAACATTTCCCTGATAAAGCTGTGAACATCTTAACAAGATTGCACAAGAGGAATATCTTGTTAACAACAAACTTTCTCTATTAGCTGAAGGCCAAAGAACCACATTTAATTGATTGCTATAGTACACTATCTTTTCGAAATGAAGTTCATTCATAGGTGACATATAGGCTACGTGTAGACTGCAAGCCTCTTTCAAAAGAGGCTTTTTTGAAAGATACTTTCAAAAAAGAGCGTCTAGACTACAACTGGTACTTTCGAAAAAAAAGCACCCAGGCAGTGTGGATGCTCTCTTTCGAAAAAGCACAGTTTGCATTACATAGCACCTTTTTTCAAAAGAGCACTTTTGAAAAAAGGCATTCTTCCTCATAAAATAAGGTTTTCTGCTGTCAAAAAAAACTGCCACGTTCTTTCGATTTACTTTCGAAAGAACGTGGCAGCAGTCTAGATGCAGAGGAAGTTTTTTCGAAAAAGGCCACTTTGGGGGGAAAAAAAAAAACCTGTAGTCTAGACACACCCATAGTGTCTCAAGTCAGTATACAGGCAGTCCCCGGGTTATGTACAAGATAGGGACTGTAGGTTTGTTCTTAAGTTGAATTTGTATGTAAGTCGGAACTGGTACATATTGTACCCCAGGTGTTCCTGATTCAGCAGCTGCTGAAACTGACCAGCAGCTGACTACAGGAAGCCCGAGGCAGAGCTGCTCTGCCCCGGGCTTCCTGGAATCAGCCGCTGATCAGTTTCAACAGCGGCTGAATCTGGACGCCTGGGACAAAGCAGCTGGGGTGTTGCCGGGTAGGTCCCTGCAGCACCGCACCTCGGCGCTGTGGGACCAACCCGACAGCCCCCCAGCTGCTCTACCCCAGGCGTCCTGATTCAGCCGCTGCTGAAACTGACCAGT